CTAACGGGTGCAGACTAAGCTGAAGATTTTAGAACTGCTTCCTCCTTTTCTGAACAGAGCCCTTAAAAAGATTATCTGCAGAGGTGCTAAGAAGGTATAATGCCACTTGACCTAAGCTGCTTCTACCAGCTGTATCACCAGAAGTGGGAGAATCGTGTTCTACATACACAAAGGCTGTTTAAGTCAGGGCCTGACCAAATTGCGGAGACTGACACAGCCAGCTGGAAAGGACAGCTGGCTACTGAATGCCATCGCCTGTAGCCTTCACATATATATAAAAAATTGGGGTGTGAGGGGAATGGGAGATCTCGGGAAGAATCCTGACCTTTGTTATTTTTAAGAATAAGCAAAAATTCAAGGAAATTCCTAATTTTTAATAACCGCCCCAACAGTTTTATGCCTCGCTGTTGGGAAGCCATAATGACCAACTCTGCCAGCCTAATGTAGGAGAGCTAGAGACAGCCTCAAACCAAGGATGACTTCCACATCCCCTCTCAGGGGTAACTAACTCCTGTCCCCGCTCAAGTGTTCCGCCCTGAGCCGCAGTTGTCTTCTCCCTTCAAAAAGGAGGATGCTGGCGGCCATGGCCGAGTTCAGGCTGTCCACCCCAGGCACTACAGGGATCAGCAGCCTCTTGCCCCCCGTGCTCTCAGCCAACTGCAGGGACTCCAAGCTCAGGCCATGCGTCTCCCCACCTATGACCACAGCTGCTGGGGCCTCTGTCCAGTCCAAGTCGTAACTCTGGACCTCAAGTTCAGGGAGCCAGTCTTTACTGGCTCCAGTTTCTAGATCCTCCTCCTCCTCTTCCTCATACTTGTGAATCTTCGAGAGTTGTTGGTCACAGATCCAGCCATGGTCACTGGCTTTATTAGATTTCTGGGCCTGGGTGTAAAGGCCACAGTTGTCTGCCACGTAGACCCGGGTATCGTCGGGCAAGTACTTGGGCACCGTTTCCCAGTCCAGGTTGTTGATGATGGGCACCTGGAAATGCGCACCCATACCTGCCCGCAGCACTTTGGGCTCCCAGGGATCCACACAGCCTAGAAAATAAAAGAGGATCTAATCAAGATTACAAACCTTCCCAGACGAGGGGACTTTCAGGTAAACTAGATTAATTCTGGATCAGGAGATAAAGCAAAAAATCTCCTACTGTAGGTTCTTGATAGCTGGCACCGCTGCCTCCCCCATATGGCACTACCCAGCAATGGGACTGTAGGAGGAATTCCGGCTAGTGCCCAAACAGACTTTATTCATCCCTTCAACATTCACACCTGCAAGACATTGTATGGGAGATGCAAGAGCATTTAAAGTCCCCAACCTCAGCGAGCTCATGATACAGAAGCAGCATGAAAAGGGTAACTAACAGAAAAACCCTTGCACAAAGGACTACCAGGAAAAACACCCCAGAGACATGACACTGAGCTGGATCTTGAACGATAGGAGGATCTTGTCGGAGAAAGAAAGGCCCAGGGAGAGGTCAAAGCTACAGAAGGGGAAGAGTGCCACAGCCCGAACACTGTAAGAAAGGTGGGTCAGGAAACTAATGGGTGGGTGTGGTGGGAGGTAGGACAGGAGGCAGGTAAGGACCAATTTAAAGGCAGCAGGGTATGAGCTCAGGATTTTATCCAGAAGACAAATGACACTGAAGGATTTTAAAGAGAATAGGACAGAATCTGGTTTATGTTTTAGAAAGAGCCATTTGGCTTCAATGCTGAATCTGATTGGAGCAGGGAAGATGCTAGAGAGATGGAGAAATCAGATTGGAGGCAATTATAGTAATCCAGGGAGAACCACGGCAACAGCCTTGTCCTTCACATACACACCTGCTCTTACCACAAGAAGGCCAAACCATCTACTCTCTTACGTACGGGCACGTGCTCAGCCCAACAACTTCCATGTACTGGCAGATACTTCACCTTTCCTAGGCCCATGTGCTGGGACAGACTGCAGGACCAGGGCAGCAGAGACCTACCATCCTCCTCATTAGCACAAGTCTCCTCAGGACAAGTTATTTTAATAGAGGGGCCCAGATTCATGAGGAGCGCCCTCTAGTGTGACCCCTGTATTTGGTGGGGGAGTACAGGGCAAGATGAGATTTCCTCCATCCACAGGTCCTCAATACTCTGCACCACACCAAGTGTTCCCTACTCTTTTCCTACCACTCATACACAGCCCCCAGCACCACTGTGAAAACATCACTTGGGTTATATAGGAACATTTCCAAAACCACACCTACTCTTGGAGCTCTCACCAATGGGGCAGGTAAGTGGGTACTGATGATGGAGCCCAAGCACCCAGCTCTCACACTGGCAGAGAAATGCACTCCAACGTGTGACTGGGGGAAAAGTTAAAAAAGGAATTTCGGCAAGCCTCAGCAATGGGTACCAATTTTAGTTTACACTGAAAGGTAACCTGAGTGTTTCTGATGAATGATCCTCTCCTTCCCACCCTCCCCTAAATTGTAATAGGCATTTTAGGCTCGTCCCAACTGTTAGGCAAGTCTGTTTAGAACCAAACTTACTAATCCCCATTTCTAATGAGGAGACAGGAAAAAAATGTAACGAGGCTAATTTGTGTTGTGGGGTGTTTGACTTCTGAGGCTAAGGGAAATGTATCACAATTTCATAATCACACTCTGTTGAAATAATTTCCTTTCACAGGATTCAGAATGTCAGAGAATTAGAATGGTCTCACATACCCAACAATTTGGAAACTCAAGATCATTAAATAAAGGACTTGAAATCAAAAATTAAAACTAGCATCTACTTCTTTCCCTGGTTGATTTTAAGTTTTTTCTTTAATAACTTAGCAGGTGTCAAAATAATTTTAAAAGATAATCAGCACATACTGAATTGCTATGTGCCAGGTACAATGCCAAGTACTATCTGTGCATTATGTTACTTGATCCTCAAAACTTGATCCTACCTTCCATGTAGATTCTGTTATCATACCCACATTATCGAGGAGGAAACGGACTCTCAGAATTTCACTCACACATGTAGCTAATGAGGAGCAGACCCAAGATTCAAATCCAGGCAGGTCTGCCCAGAGCCAGCTCACTGACAAATGGCCACCAGACACAGCGCTCTTACCTTTGGTGAGTAATACTTTGCTGCAACCTGCCCCAGCAGCAGATCTCAGAATCGTCCCCAGGTTCCCAGGGTCTCGGAGATTGTCACAAATCAACAATAAGGGCAGTGAATGGCGAAGCTGAGTCGCTGGGAATGTCATCTTAACGTGATCAGGTTTGGCAAAAATCCCTGAGGAAACAAAACAGGAAGTTCACTTGTCTAATGTAGACACGGGGAATAATTAGTCTTTTCATTTATTTCTCACTGCCTCTATTCTTAATTACTTGAGTACATTCTGGTTGAAAAAATTCAAAGAGGAAGTCCTACCAGTGATCCCCCGCATAAGTGCTTTCAATCTTGAAGTGTATTGTATACTTTCAGAACTTGTTCCATGCTGCTACCTACATATGTGCACATCTACCCACATAGGTGTTTTTATTCTTTTACAAAATAAATCATACTCAGTATTATCCTGTAATCTACTTACCTAAGTCTCTAACGTGTCTTTGAGAACTTACCATGTCAATACATTTGGAGCTATCTTATTCTTTTAAGTGCTGCTTCTTGTTTTGTAACTTGAATGTACTACGTTTATTTAAATCTTCCACGGACTGACATTTAGGATGTTTTTCAATTTCCCCTATTATAAACAACCCTGCAATAAACATCCCTGTATGCCTCTCTGTGCACACGTCTAAACATTTCCCTAGGAAAAACTCCCTTCTAAGTGAAACGAGCCAATGGTGTGTGTACACTGTTCATGGTAACTGATACTGCCCGCCCTCCCCACAAGCCCTTCCAGTTTATTCACACCAAGAACACCTACTCGTACATCCCTGCACCTACCCTATCAATGACGTCACAGCGACATAAAACCTTACGTTAGATTCAAGCAAAGGAAGACAAGGCTTCCTGTTCCGTGGGCTAAACAGGGCAGTACACTGGAGCTCAGACCTGCTTCTAGAACAAGGGAGTCAGCGACAGGTATCACCACACGGGCAGGGGCTTTGTGGAAATGGATGGCTAAATCTTTTGGCAAACGTATCCCTAAGTTTTAGTTGGGACATTAAAGGTTGAAGAAATGACCTAAAAAAAAAAAAAATGTGTGAGGAATAAAGAGCCGTAATACAAATGATGATGGCTTCACTTTCCACTAACGATACTAGAAGATGCACGATTTACAGAAGATGTGAGAACTCTATTTTTCTGGGCATCTTCAGTAACACTTTGAATCCGGTTTAAATAAAATGTGTTCTCCCGAGACAAGCATGAACAATCCATCCCAGGCCTCTACTGCTGGTGACACACCGCGCAGCCACTGACCCATGATTCCTTGCGGTGTTACTAGGTCGGACCATTCCTTGATATCCTCAAACTTCACCTTAACGAGGCGGACCCCCTTCAGCTTATCGGCGGGCAGCTCCTTCAGGTAGTCCAGGCGGCTGAAGAAGAACATTTTGGGCACAGCGCCGGCCTTGAGGGCGTCCGCGATCAGCCGGCGACCTTCCAGCAGGATCTTCCCTTGCTTTTCCCGGAATGTCCTGGACTTGACGACGGTCATCACGCTGCTGGGGGCGGAAACACAGAGATGGCCATGAGCACGCAATCCCGACTCGGAGGTACGCCTCGTCCTAACGGACAGGAGGCCCGCGCTGCCCTCCGTACGTGACCAAAGCCAGCGTGTGGTGCCGGGGCAGGTCCTCCGCCGGAGGAGAGAGGGTCAGGCCCGCTGGGAGGAGGGAAGGGAGACGGGCACACTCCGTCCACGCGGTTTAGGAACACGTCACCTCAGCCTTTTGTCCCCGGGGAAGGCCTTATCGTAGCGAAGCCCCGACTCTTCCCAGGTGCTGGGCGTCTGGGCTGGAGGCGTCTGGGCTGGGGGCTCCTGAGGCGCCTGCTTCGGTAGCTGCACGTGGGGACTGGCCTCGGCCGCCGCCGCCTTCCGGGGCCGATTCCCGGGGCCGGGCTTCCGGTCCACCACCTCTCCGGACGGAAACAGCACTTTCACGGGGCTCCGCCGCAGCGCCCGGACCCAGCGCCG